TTGACCGAGATTGTACTAATTTGACTTCAATTGGACTAAATCGAGCTCGATTACACTATAACTGACCGAGATTGTACTAATTTGACTTCAATTGGACTAAATCGAGCTCGATTACACTATAACTGACCGAGATTGTACTAATTTGACTTCAATTGGACTAAATCGAGCTCGATTACACTATAATTGACCGAGATTGTACTAATTTGACTTCAATTGGACTAAATCGAGCTCGATTACACTATAATTGACCGAGATTGTACTAATTTGACTTCAATTAGACTAATTCGAGCTCGATTACACTATAATTGATCGAGATTGTACTAATTTGACTTCAATTGGACTAATTCGAGCTCGATCACACATTATATAAATCATGCAAATACAAAATATTCATCTCAACAATCTGATTCAGTCAAAATACATATAAAAAAATCTAGTTCCTCCAATCACCACGGAGTCTAGTTCGATCGGTGGGAGGATGCGAATACGGGCAACGGTCCGCGAATTGTTCGGGATCACCACATCTACTGCATTGATCCCGACCCCTTCTGCGGCGCACCCGACGATTCATTTGCATTTTAAAGCGTCTCGTTTGGGCGCGACCGAGTCCAAGCTTCGAGATGATCCTCTGCTAATGTGGAATCAAATTCCATCCCACCCGCGGCCACGTGTCAGGATTTCCAATTGGAGCAAAATTCCAATTAGAAAATTGAGCAACCCAGTTTTCCGTCCAAAAGTGGGAATCGTACAACAAGTTCGGTGGATCACGCCGGTCACGACACACGGCTAATGCATGAGAGCATGGTTTTCGATGTGTCTGCCACTTCTTACATGTACAACGCTGCTGCCGATAATCAACCTTAAACCTGTTTTCCACAATCATTTATATATATAAATAAATAAATAAATAAATAAATAACTCATTTGAATGTAAAAAAAAAAAAATTCCAATTAAAAAATACATAGTTGTTTTACCCTCTTCCATTGGCGCGTAGACCGGTTGTCACCATGTACTGGGATCCGTCAGTATCCACACATCGTACCTCGTGAGTCGCCGCTGTCCTCTCCAACACCAGATAGGCGGCATAGAGGTCGGTAGGAACGGGACTCCTGCATCCTCTGGACTTGTTTTGTTCCTGTTCAAACAAATCCAGAGTCTTGTTCATTGTGGCCAGTACCAACGCTCTGCAGGACAGGAACCTAATACCTTTGAGGACGTTGTTGTAACTCTCTGACATCTTGGTTGTTAGAGTGCCCTATCGACGTCCTCTATCTCTGTATAGGGTCTATTTTTTCAAAGGAATTTGGAAAAGGTAATCGTATGCGTCCGGGTTACATTCATGGAGTTCCTGTCGACTCTGCTCAAATTTGCGGCGAGAACATAGTGAACCCAACCTCCCGCACAAACCCCGGACTTTCTTACTCCGGTACCTTGAAAACACGTTGCTTCGGAGGTGTCGAAGGCATATCCGATGAAATGCATGGGGTTCGTGCCAAGTCTCCAGTAAGTCAACGGCACTCAATATGACGTTGTCCCTGTCGGAAAGAAGACATATCGATCTGTCGGGGACAACATGATGGCGCAGATGTGTTAGGAAAAAGGACCAGCTAGTCGTGCTTTCTCCGTCCACAATCACATACGCGACTGGCAATAGACGCTTATTCGCGGTCTGTGCTATGACAACAAGCAGCTTCCCCTTGTACGAACCTGCTCAGTTGGACATATGTTTTTTTTATCAGACACTATTGTAAATTAGAAAATAAAAAATTAATTTGCAAGTAACAAGTAGATTTTCCTTGTACGTACCTCGCAGGTGCGTGCCATCGATGCTAATAATCGGCGGGCAAAGAAGGAAGGTTTGAATGGCGGGGTTGAACGCCCAGAAGACAAATCTGAATTCTCTGTCTCGAGATTGCTTCGCCATTTCCCCACCCTGCCATTCCCACTCAACGACTGTACCGGGATTCGCCCTTTGAAGGGCGGCGAAAAACCTGCAAATTATAAAAGGTAACCATAAATAAATAAATATAGTTACAAACAACACGTAAATACATTTATAATTAATTTTTCTTACTTGGGGAGTTGTGCGAAGTTCGATTCCCACGTGCCATACAGACGATCGATGGCTTTTTTTCTCTCGTGCCACGCCTTCTTGTAGCTGGCATCGACGCTCCAGGCGTTTTTTACGTCGGCCTGGACCATTTCCACATTGTAGGTCACCTGCTTCTAAATCTTAACCAACAGAAGATTTGAGATCATGGTGGCGGTCACATTCTTGTGATCATTTCTATCGAACACCTGCATGCAAGTGTGGCTATCGGTCCATTCGGTTACCTCCCACATGTCGTGATCCCATTTGTTAAGACTCACTCGAGCCTTCCATATACAATTCCAGGCCAGAATACCAGTCCGAGCTTCTTCCTTGGTACGAAAAACTGTACCCAAACGGATAGTCTCGACATGCCCATTCCAGACTGGCAAGGCATACTCATCCCTGTCTACACACGACGAGTCCCACTCACCCATCTCGTGATATACGTGGAGGCCTTCATTTGGAAAGGGGTGTTCTTCAATGAATTCTTGTTCGCTCTCCTCATTAATTGATCTGTCCGATTCGGTTTCCGAGGTCTCATCAGTGAAATCGTCTTCCCCGAGACTGAAATCTTCATCTCCAACAATTTCTTCCTCAATGTCCGGTCCTCTCATGGTAAAGCTCATCCCTTCGCCGAAATTACTCGTCCCTTCACCAAAATTACTGGCATGCGTAGTCCACGTACCCTCGCCACCAAACACTCCCCCGTAACCATATGATGGCGTAGGATCCTCAACCTGTGTAACCTGTGTGTTTGCTTCCAACACTATATACAAAAACACATAGGACATAGGAGGAAAGAAGTAAATCCACGAAAGAGCACTATCATTATTCAGTCTTCTGGGAATAAACGAACCATCCAGTTGTCTGGCCATTAAAGTAATATCCGAAATTGTCTAACTACACGAAACCCACCATTTTCGTAAATCATATCTACCAATTGTTCATATGATATTATTCCACTAATAACAAATGAACAATCCGGACGAGATATATATTTCGAAAAATTTCATAACTCACTCTGGGAAATTTTCCAGTACACATTAACAAAGTAGGGACCGTTAGACGCCATTTATAACCTGATGCACAAAAAAAAATCTATTTTACAAATTACAACAACACATAATGGCTAATCAAACACCCGATAAAATTTCAATTATTATTTTACCAATCTAAATTTAAAACTCATTTCCAACAACAACATATAATTAATCATATTTTTACTCCAACAAAAAAAAAATTGTCAATTAGTTTATCAAAAACACCACCAAAACCCTAATCACCATAATCCAACAATAACATCAAATTCATAAACAATTTGGATAAATATTCAACATACATTAAACCAACATTCAAGATTTTCTAAACAATAGCAAATAACAAATTATAACCATTTAACACAACTATTAAACCAACATTCAAGATTTTCTAAACAATACTCAATTAACCAAATATATATCTTAAACATTCATAAACAACAAAAAAATAATATTACATTACATTAAAATAAAAACTAACCTCTTCTCCGATGATTGGTTGAAATTTTTTTCATTTAATGGAGCTTCAGTTCGCCGAAAATCCCTGAAATAATTTTTTTTTTTTGTAATGGAGCTTCAACAAAAAATATATATTTTTTTTAAATGGAGCTTCAATTCGCCGAAAATCGAACAAAAGACACAAAAATATGTTTATGAAGATAAGAAAACAAACGCGCAGTGGTCTGGGGAGGATTTTGCAGTTGTTTATATCAACCAAAAAACGGATTTTAGAAATCCGTTTTATTCGTTTTTAATTTTTTTTAATTAAAAACGGATTTTCAAATCTGTTTTATTTGTTTTTAATTTTTTTAATTAAAAACAGATTTTAAAAATCCGTTTTATAAATTAGATCTATTATTTTTATTAAATTCTACCATTAAAAAATAAATAAATAAAAAATAACAACGGATTATGAAAATCCGTTTTTCTAATATGAGATAAACGGATTTTCATAATCCGTTTGTTTGATTCATTTCCACAACATTTTTTTTTATTTTTTGCCACATATATATTTTTTTTAAAAAAAAAAATAACCCACCCATAACTTTTGTCATATTTTTCTTAACTTAACATCCGCGTAGTACAAGAGTGTTGTACTAGTTACATGTAAAACACTACAAAACATTGAGGAAAATACTGAAAAGGGAATATAAGTCAAACTCACTTGCTACAAAACATTTAGGAAAATACTGAAAAGGGAATATAAGTCAAACTCACTTGCTTTAATAAGAAGTTTTTATTTGTTTATTTATTTATCTATTTAGTGAACTGATATGTCCAAACTCAATAATATAAAGAACGAAAATGGATAATATTGAAAGAGAAGATAATATTGAAAGAGAATCAAGTCAAGCTCACTTGCTTCAAGAATAAGTTTTTATTTATTTTTGTATGGTTTTTTTTATTTGAACTATAATATGTCCAAAATCAATAATATGGAGAAAATTTGAAAAATATTTAATGCTAAAAGAAAAGAGCATATAATTGGGTGTAAAGCTGTCGGTCAAAAGTCTGCTGCTGTTAAAAATTCAATACTCTAATTCGTCAAGTCATAATGAGATAAAGACAACTTAAAAAGGGTCATGCATGTACAGCCACTTAAGCATTAGGTGCACCTCGATGCACGCACGAGGCAAATTATTTGAAAATTGTTTTCAAGTCCATTTTTCTTCATAGAAAGATCAAACATTCTTTTTTAGAATATTATAGTCAATAGCAAAGAATGGAGTACAACCATACTACAAACATGCAGAATAGGAGTATGCTTAAAGAAGCGGACTAGAAGGAAACTAAACTAGTGACAAGAAACCGGCAAAGACAATCCTTTGAGCCCGGTATTTGTCCCTAAGCGTAGTTGCACTAGAGCAAAGCCACAATACATCAAAAAATAAAACCACCACTGAGCAGGAGCCCCTAGTGGTTTTATCACTACTAGGAAGGAAGAAAAAGCCACATACCAAGTTCAAGATAACACCAGAAACTAAAACTAAGGAAAGAATCAAAACAAAACAAAACAAAACAACATAGCTATAAAGATATCACTGGAGCTGTTTGGGGGGGAAGGGGGGGGCAAGATGTTTGTTCCAACTAAGATGAGTGGGCAGATTGAACTATGGAGTATTCCGAGAGCCAAAAGTTCTGGAACACCCAGAGGTCCCGGGCATTCCAAAGCCACTACAGGAGGTATGCCATTGGCTGAATTCTAGACTGAGATAGACATGAGGTGTTAAGGCTGCAGATTCTTGACCACTAGTGGTTGAAGCTATCAGTTTCATCAAGAAGCCCATCTCATGAAATTGGAGAGAGTTTCCAGACCTTTCTAGCTTTAGAGTAGTGGAAGAAAATGTAGTCCATAGTCTATAGATCATCAGCACATGCTTTACAGAGGGGATCTATGTTCATCTTCTTGTTGAGGAGATTAGAATTGACTGGAAGGATATTGGAGAAGCTCTTCCAAATAAAATGCTTCAGTTTGCCTGCAGTAGGAAGGGACCAGCTTGTGTTCCTAGCTTTGATCTCATCAAGCTTGAGTCTGCTACCTTTTGGGAGGTCCAACTTTTTCCATTTCTCTTCAACTAACTGATCATAAACACATGACACTGAAAATTTACCTTCTCTACCTGTGTCCCAGACTATGAAGTCATTGCAATGTGGATCTAAGCTTTTGATACTAAGAATCCTTTCCTTTCCTCCAGAGAGAACAAGTTGTGGATGAGACTGGTATTCCATTGCCAACCTGATGGATCTAGTAATTCATTAACCCAAGTAAATTCCTGTCTCCTTGGATTATTCAAGTCTGGCTTGAACCCTTTAACTCCTGGAATTCATGGGTGGTGCCAAATGTTCACAGCAGGTCCATTCTTAATCTGGTATCTGATGCCACTGAGAAGGAGTGGTTTGGTTTTCATCCAGCTGTTCCAGAGCCAGGATCTATTTATTTTCTTTTGAGCAGTGAGGAGCCTGTCATTGGGGAAGTACTTAGCCTTAAGGAGCTTGCTCACCAGTAGATCAGGATTATTGTAGATTCTCCAAAGTTGTTTAGTGATAAGGGCTTGATTCATAAATTGTAAGTCATGAAATCCTAGGCCACCTCTCCTTTTAGGCATGGAGAGTTTTTCCCAGGATTTCCAATGAATAGAACCCTTCTGTTGGTCTAATTTTCTCCACCAGAAAGAAGTAAAAATTTGAGCAAGGTTTGTGCTGGTCTTCATGGAAAAAGGAAACAGGACATGGCATATAGAGGGAGGGCCTCCAAGACTGCTTTGATTAGGGTCTCTTTAAAGTAAAAAATGTGTGCTATTTAAATCACTTCATAATAAACCAATTTCAAATTCATAAGCTTTAGCTATTGAACCATCCGAACCAGTCTTGGTTCAACCGGTTTGGACCGATTCGAACAGTTCTTGGCGGTTTGATATAGCAAACCAGATGGGAATGAAAGCCGATTCCCGGTCCAATCGGTTGAACTGGCCAGTCCGGTATGGTTTTGAGAACCATGATAAATACCCACATACTTGTGTTATTTGATTTTTTCGTTGAGTCCTAAAAGTTCCAAACAATAGCATTGTTCGCCGAAGCTTGTATATTTAAAACACCGTTATATACAAGTTGAAAGTCGTTGTATCTTAGAGGCATTGGCTTTTAACCGTGAGTATTTTACTGAGCAATTTCGTCTTAATTAGGATAACGTACACTACAAGAAAATGATGATTACTTTTGTTAATTCACACGAAAATTCCAACAAATTAAAATATTCCGTTGGAATGAATTTTGCATTGGAATTTCCGTTGGATTTTGACGATTCCAACGGTAGATTTTCTAACGGTAGTGAAAATAAAAATTCCAACGGAAATTGCATATTCCAACAGAAATTCCTATGGTGAAAAGCCGTTGAAAATATAGCCTTTGGAATCATCAAATTCCATCTAAAATTTCAACGAAAAATACATTCCAACGGGATATTTTCGTTGAAATGATTCCAATGGAAGCTATACCATTGGAATATCCATTGGAATTTCAGTTAGAATATATTACTATAAGATTTTCCGTTGGAATATAGCATTAATTTTTTTGTAGCGGCAACTATTACGTGCCTCGACTTTGATTTTATTTTAGTTTTCATCATTATCCTTAAGTCATCTTCTTGATATTCACATCCCACACATAATCTACAAATTCTAGGCAGAGCCGGTTCTGGAAAATTAGAGGCACTGGGCCAAGTGATAATAGTGCCCCTATTATTTATAATTCATAAATAATTTATCATATTATAAAAAATACTGAAGAATAACGATTATAACAAANGGAACAGACTTGGTGACTATAATAGTAAAACCTTGTGTTTGCTTTTACAAAAATAAGTTTTCAAATAAAGTATACATTAAATATTCATGTATATTTTTTGTCACTAATTTTTGTAAATACTTTCTCTTTATATATATATATATATATATAGATACATAGATATAATGAAAATATAACAATTAAAATAAATGTGAGAAAAAAATAAATTATTTACTAATAATAACTATTAATTAAACGTATGTAAGTAACTCATAATAAGAATTGTTATTTCTTTTTATTAGACATTGAAAATAGAATAATACATTATCAGAGCAAAAAAATGTGGCAATTTGACGAAAAAGAGAATAACATAATTAAAATTGAACAATTAATATGTTTGTCTACACTCAACACATAATTTTGTAAGTCAACTGATAAATAAATTTGGCAAAATAGATTATTTTTTTAAAAAAATTAATTCAGAAATTGGATTTTTAACTATTCGAAACAAGTCTTTAGCGGGCTAGGCTAGACAATTCATGTACAATCTCATACCTATACAAGTCCATAACAAAGTTGTAAAAGATTAATTAACATAACTTAAAGTAGTTGGCTATTAATAAAATACCAAATTGAAAAGCCCAAACATTAAATGATTTATTAATAATTGAGAAAATTAACCTCTGTGTCAACAATGTTTTAAAACGCGTATTGCGTTATCCATTGCGTTTTTGTTTCAACGTTGCGTAGCCTAGATAGCATAGCGTATAGCGGGGGTAATTCGAGCAAGTCATATATAAATAAAAAATAAATAAATATAATTTATATGCAAAATATATAATAAAATAAATTATCTTAAATACTCTTCAATCACACAATTAGTATTAATATAAGAAATAACATTCAATAATTCNACTCCTTATTTTTTTGTTTAAAAAAAAACAAAAAACAAAATGCCACAAGTTTAAAAATAACATCCGACTGCAATTACTAAACCAAAGGAATAAAAAATTAACCTCAACCATCTCAGTATCGCCGGCCATTTCCACCACCGGTCGTAGAAAAAACGATGGTTGCAAAAGAAGGTGGGTGGTCCTTAATGCTTTGGTGCCCCTCAAAATGTGTGGGCCCTACCGCAGGGCCGGCTCTGATTCTAGGAAGCCATAGCGCAAATTACATTGTTTGCAGTGTGTTTAAATTATTTTTGTAAATTTCAGTATATATCATTCTATTTTCCTTTTCTATTTTGTCTAGAGTTTGATACCATATAATTTGCATTTTATACATTGTGATTTTGATTGTGTTCATTTCTTCATATTTAGTTTTATAATACATGTTTCATTTGTCATATATGCGTTTGTCTTTCTATACTTTTTCATGTCCAGTTGTAAAACCATTTCAAGTATAGTTAATTGTTGGAGATTTGTAATAGTAATATATGTTGTGCATTTCCGACAAAACTAGTTTGAGGATATGTTTTTATTTTTCCCCCAAACTTTCCCACTAACGAAGTCGATAAGTCAATAACATATAGATAAACAAATAATTAATATACCAAGGTTGCGTGTTTATGTCTGACCCTTATATTCAGCCATTGTCAATAATAATTAAAGCTTGGAATTTTGTAATGCAAGGCTAAGGATAGCCCGGCTAGGTCTGAAAGTCAAAGTTATATAATAAATTTACTGGTAATAATATATCACTCCTTACACCATGTTAAATAAGAAATTAATATTTAGAAAATAAATAATAAATAAAAGTAGATTTTTTTTTGTCTAATAATTGAGTATTTTTTAGGAACTTATATTATTTTAATATTTTTAGACGACCCTCGTTAACCTCGCTCGTTGTACTACAATAATTATTAACTCATTTCGTACAGTAGTCACCATGGATATTTTTTTATTATTATTAGGAGAGAAATTACATTTATTTATATTTATGTTTCAAAACAAGACATATCAACATTTGGAAGAAAGTAATGCACTATTAATTATAGTAATTTTCCCTTATTTAGTCTATTTCCTTTACTTCTATTTTTTAATTCTGTTTCTCGTTTTTCATGCTTTTTTTATCTATAGTGATATAAAGAGGTTGTTGAAAAAATACAAAAATAGTAACTTTGACTTAAAAAATAAATGATTGACTTACCATTATAAGTAATATTCTAAACTCCACATGTGAAAATGATTTTCAGAAAATTTGATGACCTATTCGAATCTTTTAGCATACAATTTGATAAGTTGTTCTGATTATTAAGCATTTTTTTTGGTAAATTTGATAATCTATTCGGAAATATTTTTTTGGTACATTTGAATGATCAATTAACCAAATCTCTCCCATAATTATTGGGTGATCCAATCACAATCTAAACAAATTCTTTTTTCTACATTTGAATTATCAATTAACCAAATCTCTTCCGTAATTATTGGATGATTCAATCACAATCCAAACAAATTCTCTCTGCTAACTATTATTCAAATCTCATCGTCGTCAGGTTCAAATTCCAAAACACGTTCCACTTCGTTGGACAAAATTTCTCTCTCTAGAGTTTTCTTTCCTCTTTAATGGCGGATAATCTTCCTGGCGTATCAGGGTGTTAATTAGGGTTTCTTGTCTTTGTTTTTAGCTTTTGTCTACTCACCTTATCGCTTCCAATTTCTATTGTCAAGCTTTCGCACCTCTTCTATTCCAGATCTATTGTCTGACTGGCTTTTTTTATCGATTCTCTTCATCCAGGTACTCAATATTTCCGATCTTCCACTAAAGAGTTAAGGTTGGTTCAAGTCTCGGGGCCCGGTTAGGGTGAGCTACCTGATGGATCTTGATATAACTGGTAAACTCCAAAAATTCACGCTCTCTGCGACTGAGGAAGAAGGAATAACGTTGGAAGAAGATGACATCGAAGCAGGTAAAACAAAAGGCTCGCTTAGCTTGTTGGGTCGCTTATTTGGGGAAAGAAGGCCAACTTCGGGGGTCTGAAGGCAACACTACAACTAATCTGGCACACAGAGAAACCTTTCCAAACAAGGGTGATACGGCACAATACATTCCAATTCGTGTTCCAATCGGAGGCCGATAAGAGAAAGATGCTCCAAAGGAAAACATGGTCGTTCGACGGGCAATACTTGTTACTAAAAGAATGGTCAAAAGATCGACAAGAGTTTCAGGAAAAGGACAACAAAGTGGAGATATGGGTTCAAATTCATGATCTTCCTCTGCACTGGATAGCTGCAGAAACCGGGCTAAAAATTGGACGAGTTTTCAGCAGAGTGATGGATGTACAAGTGCCGGAAGTTGGAAGTCACAGAGGGAGGATATTGAAAATTCTGGTCGAAATGGATCTTTATAGCCAAATCCTCATAGGGACTAAGATTAAGCTTGGTGAGGAGTCAAGGTGGGTGAATTTCAAATATGAAAATTTACAGCACTTTTGTTTCTATTGTGGAAGAGTGGGCCATGGAGACAAGAGTTGTGCAAAGAAAAAGGAAGATGTCAGCAATGGTACTCTGGTAACTGGACAATACGGAGATTGGCTTAGAGCTCAATCAGGGGGGTATTTAGGAAGCCGAGAGAAAGAAGGGAGTGAAGACATAGGAATAGGTGAAGGAAAAGAGTCTGCCCAAATAGGATTAGAGTCTAGTAGAAAAGGCAAGGTGTAGTATCCAGTTTATTTGTGGATTATTTGGGAATTTTTATTGTTATTATTATTATTAATTATGGGATGATTATTATTTTTGTGAAATTATTTACAGTATATTATTTATGAATGTCTTAATATTATTTGTCTAATTGTGATTAAATGCTAATTGTCTAAATGTCTAAATGATTTATATTTATTATTTATAATGTGTAAATATGTATTAATATATATAATTAAAATATATTTATTATTCGACTTATTTTATCGTGCGTTTGATTTTATACCGAGCCCGAGAATATTCGCGCGAATCGAGCCATTTTATTTTGGCAAAATAAATTGAGAGTTTGAGCCCGAGAGAACCGTATGTATTGAACCGGTGCCCCGGCCCACATTAGCCCGCGACCCGAGTTGGACCCGGCCCGACAGATTTTTCCTCCCTCTTTATTTTCACGCGTGAAGTGTGTGGCTTGAAGAAGAAGAAAAATTAAACCCTAGGCTTAATAGATCTTGCACTCCTCTTCCTCTCAACGGATAAATCCCGCAGCTTCGTCCCTTCTCCTCTCTCTCTCGCTCTCGACCTCAACAGAAGAAATCGCGTCGCCACCATCGTCATTCACTTCTCCTCCTCGTTCGTTCTCATCAGAGAAGAGAGAAAATCTCTCAACCCGTCACCCTCTCATCTCCCTCACTCAGGAATCCCGTCGATCACCTCGTCCACCTTCATCCCACCATCATTGTCATCGCAGGCCCTCCTTCCGACGACCTGCAACTTTCCGGCGAAACCCGCTCGCGAGCCCTCACCTGTAACTCATCCTCGCCGGCGAACAAATGCCCCTCCGCCACGAACAGAGGCAGGTCCCGTCGACCCTCACCCGCGAACATCAACCCCCACTCGTGACCCCCGCCTGCAGCTTCTCCTCGCCGTGAACCTGCTCCGCCCGCGCAGCCGTCCTCCACCGTGACAGTTCCCTTTTCCGGGGAGCACCCGTGCGACCAATCGGCAGCCCTTCTCCTCCGCGAGTTCGTCACCTCCGCAGGCCGTCATCCTCAGCCCCTCGCGAAGGTCGTTGACCGCTGCTGCACCTTTTTCCTTTCGGCGAGACGCGAGCCTCCGTCGAGCTCATTCGAACCCTTCTCGCTCGTTTTCTGAGAACGGTATCGATTCTCGACTTCTCATTTATCTTACGTTATGATCATTGTGTTTGTCGTGTCTATTGGATTCGTGTGAATATATGAATGTACATGTCAATTTTGTGTGTGTTCATATATATATATATATATATATATATATATATGTGTTTATTGTGATTTTATAAACATTATATTATCGTGATTTTATGTCAAACTCGTCGATTTGTGCGAATCGAGCGAGAACTGAATATAAGTGATGATATGCCGTGGATTTAGGAACTTAGGATTGTTACGAACACAATGGCGTTGGCCTTGTGTCGATTGGAGGTGCATATTTGCCGTTATGATTTTTCAAAGTTTATAATGGCTGTTTTGAATATAAAATTCATTATAAATTGAATACTAGTCCGATTGCCTTGATATTTTAGGAGCAACTTTCTCTGATGAACATATAGCTTTTGTAAACTTTTCGTGATTTTTGAAGGTCTGGAACTATTTTTAAAATTTAATTTGATTTCTGTATAGTTTCTTGTAAAATGCATAAATAATTTTGTGGTGCTCCAATTTGGCTGATTTTTGAGTATGATATGTCACTGGTGTATTTATGAGTCGTATAAAATTTGTAGAATATTTAAACTAGTTTTGATAGGGTTAATAATTTATTTTGTATTTCTGTCCGAATTGGTTGTAATTGTGATAAATTGGTCTGAAGCTGAAAAATTCTGAATTTTGGTTGACATGCTGATTAGGAGATGTTTAGCATGCTGTAAAAATTGTGGATTTTTTGAAGATCAGTTAGGTTCAGTTCTGATGGCAATTCGTTAGTTGGCTGAATGTTGTATTAATTTTATAAATTCACATGCTGAGTGTTTAAGGCTAATATTTTTACTTGTTGTTCATATGCTGGAATTGCTTAGATAAAAATTTCATGTCCTGAATCGTCCATTATCATGTTTTTTTAATTTAAACTCGCTTTTGTTGAAAAACTTGTTTGAATTTTATAAAATTATGTACAATGAGTTGGAAGCTGGAACTTGGTTATTTTTCTTAGAACTGGGAGGTGAATTTTATGTAAAATTTTCAGAACCTAACTCGTTGATTTGATATACCTTCTAATTCAAGTGTGAATTTTAGAAATTGTTTTCTATAATAAAATTTGTTAAGTGTTGTTAACCAAATGTGCTATGTGTTTACTTGTGGCTCGTTTGATTGTCTTTCATTTGTGATTATGTGAACTTGAGTATGTGGTTTGATCGAGTCTAAGTCCTAGAGTTCCCATATCCACAGAACTTCACGAACCACTTGGTCGAACCAAGTTCGGCTAAGTCAATTTGTGAATTTTCCACTTAGGTCTAGATTAAAGTGTTGACTTTAGTATCTGGGCTTAATGTAGGTGTCTAGAGGTGTTGACCTCGCCTCATTTCGAGATTTGTGACTTTGAACTGTTGCTGCAATCAGGTGGGTACATTTATGATGTATTCCATATTTATCGCACTTAATATTTCGTATAAATGCTTTGTTTTGAAAAATGATGTATGCGTGAGAACCCTAGTCTAAGTGTCCCGTATGTTAGTGCCTTTGAGGAATGCATAAACAGTGAGAGGTCATTGGCTCGTAGATTCGGAGGTGACGCCCCGGTCCGTATGATATTCGTGAAGGGGAAAAACATCTCTACTGTCTCCTGGAAAGGATCCCAGGCCCGTAGCCATTCGGTGATGGGAAGGTTTCCAGTTACTTCCTTGCTGTGTGTGATCGGAAGGTTGTTGTATATACATAGGAGGTTTGCGATAGGGCCAAGTAGGGAGTTACACTATTGGATTCTATGCATACTGAATACTATGGTTATGATGGTTTAAAAATGTTATGCGAGATATACTGTGCGATAATGGTAAGCTTGTTGGTTATGCTCACCCCCATTATTTCCTGTTATTGTCTCCTATTCCTTTCTTTAGGTTGAGCTGAGTTGGTGGCGGTAGCGTAAAGACGAGCGATAGGATGGTCGTTGGTCAAATTATGTTATCACTACATTATGCTTCCACCTGTTTATGATTTGTTGAACTGAAACTTGACTTGATTTATTTTTCACGCTTGGATTTGGAAATTTTATTATGTGCTTATATCCCTGCTTTGATTTTGTATACCGATTATGTGTTATGCATGAACTTGTTACTTAATTATTTGCTTTCATACCTTGGATTAATTCTTGCTTCCGCTTTCGAATTATGTTTAAGTTTTGGTTGAACCTTGTTTCATGCTAGACCTATTTGAATGTTTTGAGACTTATGAATTTAAGGGATAATTTTATATCGTTAGTCCGAGCATGTGTAGGTTCTTTTGTTTGATGGATGTGTTCATTTGATGTCATTAGCAAGTAGCGCCCGTTTCTCGTTAAATGTTTTAAATTTAAATTTATTTTTAATAAAAAAACTCTGATTTTTATTAATTAATTCGATAAATTCTTTAAAATAAAACGGGGCGTTACAGTTTGGTATCAGAGCCAGTCTTGCTTTTCTGTAGACTGGCTCATATGTGGTTAAGTGTTTAATGACCATTAGACCACTCGCTTCGTCACGCCGCGCCAGCTCAAGGTATGAGTTTTATTGTTTTGATTATTGTCGATATCGTGATTATGGTATGTTTTATTGTTGGGACTTAGGAATTTACCCTCCGTTTCTACGGACTTGAACTCTAGTGGTATAGAGTTAAATTCCAACTTTAGAAATGTTTGTTGTGAGTTTTCGGGTTGGTGTTATCGAGTTAAGTTTGGTCTATAGCAGTGCACTCGTTATGAGTTTTTGTTTAGTACCATCGAGTGAGAATCA